TATGTTATAAAATCAAATGTTCTAAAGTTCTGATAGAACATCATTGCTCTAAATGTTCTAAAGTTCTAAATGTTCTAAAGAATATACGTCGTCATGCCAACGGATGGAAACAGTAGAAGCAGTTTTACCGGTTCGTTTGAGGACATCAAATCTCTTGATCTCATCTGTGAAAACAAACACAAGTTTGTGTACGTTGTGTCGCGGTCTGTTTCTCCGTAGCGTTTTTGACATGCCTTTCCCCTGACCCGTATCATTGTTGTAGTTGTCTCAGACCACACAGATTTGAATGGATCACGATAATTTTGGCCTAGCTATTTTCCAAAAATAACCTCCCATTGTCATAGTTGGTAGACATTGATACCTAGACGTAACATGGGGTACAGGTACAGATTTAGGTACAGCTCCTGTGCCTCAACAAATTTGTAACTGTGGTCTTAATGATGAAAGAAACGTGAATTAACAGTGAACAGGATGTTTAATTAGATTTGAGATATCTTTGCTATGCAGAGAACCTGTACTTTCGAAAGGATCTCAAATCAAAGATTTCAACGCTCTTGCAATGTGCGGAACACATTTTAGACAGCATCTTTCTGTACAGCGACATCTAGCGGCAATGCGAAGTACAACCTGCGTCAGGTTGGCATCCTGAGCGCTACCGAATCGTTGGCAAGTAAACGTCTTTTTTTAACCCAACAGCCAATGTCAAAATATTTAAGATATGCCTGTGAATCCGACTAGTTTGTTGAACCAGGCGACCCAACTACATGTTAAGCTTTGACTGATGAGAGAATTAGTGTCACTCAGTCACAAAGAGAGAGAGCGAGCGAGAGAGACAGAGAGAAAGAGACAGAGAGACAGACAGAGAGACAATCAGAGACAGAGAGAGAGAAACAGAGAGAGACAGAGAGAGTTAGGGACAGGGGCATAAGGATTTTCACTGGATAGATTTTAAAAACTGACAGAGTACGTTTCAACTAGCATCCGCTTCTTTTTGTCAGTGACTGTGTATCCCAAGTTTCCCTGTGTGTCTCATTGCCTAGTTGCCTAGCTATAGCCTTCATCGACGTAGAGAGAAAGAGACAGACAGAGAGAGCGAGAGACAAAGAGAGAGAGAGAGAGAGAGAGTTATGGGCTTCATGTGATGATGAACTGGCCCAGGCAAAGTACGTCTACATGTTGGAATTCGCTCTACGCCCAACAAGAATGTGTGCCCGACTCCCAGACACCCTCCTGCTGAGAGTTCCCCCTAACCACTCCAGACGTCTCAGTTATTGCGCTACTTAAAACGTACACGGATAAAGACGAGAGGTCTCGGTCCCCAGACGTCTTGAGTTATCCGTGAGCAACTTTCACTTCACGGATCAGGTGTGACACCTGCAAGTGTTCTATGTGTCTCTCTGTCAAACTCAAGACGTCTTGTCTCCAATTCTCAAGTTTTCTGGTTGTCATTTTGTCGTCTTGTCTGCAATTCTTAACACTGATGGTTGTCATTTTGCCGTCTTGTCTTCGATTCTCAAGTCTTGTGGTTGTTCTTTTGTTGTCTTGTTAACGATTCTCATGGTTTCTGGTTGTCATTTGATTTTGTAGCTTTGCATTAAGATTGCAGGAGGCTCAGATAACTTTCTTTCTGTTACTAATTTCTGTCCTAATAAAGATACACATTGTCAAGCTTTATTATGCTATTGATAGGCTCAACACTGATTTTTATAGTAACTTTGCTACTTTCTACCTGAAATTCAAGAGAAAATGGGGATTGCACATGCAGATGGTATTTAAACGCTGAAATTGTATTTTTGGATTGTTGATATTTGACTACATTCCAACACTTGATACCTACAACCCGTGCGACAGTGAACCACTAACCCCCTACACACGCCCCCCCCCATCTGTTCGCCCATGAGTGTTATTTGTCGTCTGTGTTTACGTTAGGCGGAATTTCCAGTCTGGAATGTCAATCTGGTCCAACAGTAGCGGGAACAAATCATCGGCATGTCAGTAATTTTTTCGCGAAATCGTCATAAAAGATTCAATACGTTAAAAGCCGTCGCTTTCTCTTCACTTGAAAAGTTAAATAGAGTAAAAGACGCCCATGCTTATTCTAAAATTATTATAAAATTCTAAATGTTCTAACGGTCTCCTAGAATGTATGTTCTAAATTTTCTAACGTTCTCCTAGAATATGCTTATTCTAAAATTATTATAAAATTCTAAATGTTCTAACGGTCTCCTAGAATGTATGTTCTAAATTTTCTAACGTTCTCCTAGAATATGTGTTCTAAATGTTCTTAAGTTCTCCTAGAATATGTGTTCTAAATGTTCTAAAGTTCTGCTAGAATATGTGCTCTAAATGTTCTAAAGTTCTGCTAGAATATGTGCTCTAAATGTTCTAAAGTTCTGCTACAATATGTGTTCTAAATGTTCTAAAGTTCTTCTAGAATAGATGTTCTAAAGTTCTAAAATGAATGTTCTAAAGTTCTGTACCCACCTGCATGCCGGCGACCCGCAGGCGACCTTCCTGGCGATCCTCTGCGCGGTTTTCCACCAGGCGACCGGGATGTTTCCGTAGGTCCACTGGATGTGCCCCTCGTACAGCTCCGGCACGTCCAGGTACAGCTCGTCCACGTTCCGACTGTACTCCCGGTTCCCTCCGAACGCCTGGCGGCGGACCCGGGACGCGCTGGCCGCCGCCGCCTTGACGGGCACGGCTCGGTGGAAGTCCTCCTCGCACGAGAAGAGCCCGTTGCCGTGCAGGTAGGACAGGCTGTCGGTGCACAGCGGGTCGGTGGTGTTCAGCCCGCCCAGCTTCCCCAGCCTCTGCGCCGTCAGCGCGACCGAGAGGTGGTACATGGGCGCGAACCGGACCTGGCTCTTCTCCATATCCTTCCCGTGGGTCGAGTTGTACAGCCGATGGACAAGCCGATCGTACACCTTGGCCACGGTGCCTAACTTCAGGCCAACCTCGCCCGCTCGTCGGAGCAGCTCCTTTGCCTCCCCGACTACGTTATCCCGAAGGCCCGGTACCATCCGCTGGTTGAGGTACTTCGCAGGGATGTGGAGGCGAGAAAGAGTGTAGACGCCCTCATCTTGCACCACGCCAATCTCCGAGACGATCTCGTCTTCAAGAGCGGTCGACTCGACGACAAACTCTCGCCCGGCCTGCTTAAACCTCCCGAGAACATGTGTGTCGGGGTCCGCCGCTAGGAGGGTGAATCCCGTCGAAGACGCGACGCTCAAGGCGGCCAACGCGAGAAAAAGGCAAAGCCCGCTCATTCTGAACTCGTTAAGTAGACGTACGCGGTAGCTAGTTCAGTTCAGCTAAACCCAGACGGTAGCCGTTCAGCAAACTCACCCTTAGCCTTGTCCCTTCTCAATCCCTCTGTGCGACTCCAGACTGTCAATAAACAATAGCTGACCCGCACGACCGCAGCACAGTAGCCAAGACTAAAAGAGTCCCTCTACACTCACACAGGCGAGGCACGGGCAGGGCTCGAAATTCATTTTCGGGAATAGGTGCACTGGTGCACCCAACCTTAAAAATCTGGTGCACAATTTTTTTTTGGGTGCACCATATAGAATGAAACCTAATTCTTACTGCTCCTCTTCTGAGCTTGAATCTGAAATGGAAGCTAACTTTAAAAGCTTAAGTACTACAACAAAGATTATATAATTTTCTGACAAATATACTATTTTACACTATGAATTTCTGACATATATACTATGAAACAATATGTACAAAAATACCTACAAAAATATTTGGGTGCATTGGTGCATCCACGGAAAAAATTGGGTGCACAGCTCCAATTTTGGGTGCACTAAAGTGCACATGTAGCCGGTATTTCGAGCCCTGTACTGGTCACACCAAGCCGACTGTACAGGATCGCTTTTCACGAAATATTTGACATTGACCGCAGCGGTCTCGGGAGGGCAGGCAAACTGGAGTTTATTTACAGAAGCGTTCGGCTGCGGTGTATCTGCGATAGTCTTTAGGCCACACTGACATAAACATATGGATGACATCCAAACCTGCATCAATTTTTTTTCTGTTTAAGAAAAAAAGAAGTTTGCAAACATACTGTTTTGTTTCTTTGGGTACATGAAGGATGAAAGAGGACAAATGGACAAGAAGATGATGACAGAGGAAGGGAAGCAAGGCTCAAATTACCACTTGCTTGCATGCACCATCAAGCCTTCTTAAGTCAAAGAAGACGTAAAAGAACAAATGTAGAATTTATTGTTTGGCACAGTATACCTTACTCTTACGTTCTTGACCACTTAGATTTCATAGTAAAGCCTAAAGGTGCATTTTCCTAATCTCCAAGCAGATCCTAGGATGGCAAAAGACATGAATACTGGTTGGCCAATTTTAGACTGTCTTATGCCACCCTCTCTCGAGATGGAAGGATGGCTACTACTACTACTTTGCCACCCTAGGATCTGCTTGGAGATTGACATTTTCTGTCTTTTTTCGCACGCTTGCTCGAGTTTTGTTGTACCCAGAAGACGCCATCCATATACTGAAGCCTTGTGGCCCGAGTGATTCTATATATACTGTTCGCGGACTGGCTCCAGCTGGAGATACAGGTTCTGTTGAAACAGACACATAAGCCCCTCCAGTGGACTAACACTGAAATCCCCGAACGTAAACTAGACAGTGGCACGCACTGGGCCGAGCTACGAGACCGGGGTTCACAGCGTGCATTAGCCGCCGTGTAGACAGAAAAGACAACGTTTCTTTCTACCCAGGCCTAGGAAAGAAAAGGTTGTGTTTCCTTCCGGTTTCCTGGTCGACACTAGCAAAAGAATCCATACCTATCTACCCCTTTTTTCCAGGACTAAACCGACCCCTTTACTTCTTTTTTTTTCAGGACTGAAATCGGAAACACAACATTTTTTCTAGGCCTTGTTTAGGGTCAAACGAACTTGATTTTTCACGTCGAAATGACATCTAGATATGCATAGAACGTTATAGCTTTTACATTGTTTCATGAAAGTCTGTGAAGTTCTGTCAGAAATTCTACTTCGCTGAAGGCAAAAAAAGCCCTGCCACAAATGTGAGAGGCCTCAGGTCCAGTCATGTTCTGTTTATACAACAAATATAAGCACGATTTACGTTCACCTTTTCTATTCATCCCCTGCTACACTACTACACCGCGTCTCGCTAAAATACCCCCACTTAATCCCCAGGTGTGGTCTGTGTGTATCCCTCAACAGTAGCCTTTTATCAAGTTACCTCTGCACACTTAGAGGGAGAAACTGTGGTCTGTATACGTGTACTGGATCTCCGGATCGGTTTAGAGGCAAGGGAGCCATAACAATCTGGTATGAACGCAGAGCGAAGTTTATGTAGCGTGAAAAGAAGGTCAGCAGTAAACTGGAGTAAGGCTATGCACAAGAAATAGTCGATGTTATGTGAAGAGCCAGTTGGAAAGAGAGAGAGGATCACAGAGAGAGAAAGAGAGAGAGAGAGAGACAGAGTGGGAGAGATAGAGGGAGAGAGATGGGAAGAAAAGGGAGAAATAATGGAATAGACGAAAACGGGAAAAGAAGAAAACAAGGTAGACCGAAAGTCCCAAACCAGTCTAGGACTCAACTAGTCTACAACAGCTGATCTTAACTGAAGAGGGGGAGACGAAGAATAGATGTTGGCTAGAGACCAGTGCAGAGACAGGATCAGGCCAGTACCAAGGACAGGCTCCCGTCAGAGCTCCCCTGTTCCTGTATCTGTGCCAAACCTGCTGTTTTTGTTTATCCCGATCCATTTGTCAGACCCGCTGATCCTCGCGCCCCCTCCCTCCCCCACCAGTCCTGCGGTTTGAGATCCAAACCACAGACGGCAGGTCTGACCGCCTGACACGTGCCGCGGTCTGCTTCTGTACACCCGGGACTCATCGGCGGGGTTGTCCCGGGTCAGGTTCAGATTTCTGCGTCTGTCCGCTGGCTGCGTACTGTTGTCATCATGCTTTCTGACTGCTAGTCGATTCTTTGTGTTGTGATCCACCGAGAATACTGCCCTTCTAAAGTACTAGGGGGCTGGGCGAAACCACAAGTTTGGCATACAGACATACTGGATCTCCGAAATTTCTATGGCTACAGGTGTAGACATTAGGCGAAAGGGCTTCAGTGAGCAGGCTCTGACAGAAACTATAGTCGTCAAAAAAAGGTCGACGGCAAGCCTTTTCCATCACAGGACACAAGCTGAATTTTATACGGCACAACCACAACTGTTCTACGAACGTTGTTCTAAGAACGCTGTTCTACGAACGCTGTTCTAGGCATGCTGTTCTTCGAATTCTATTCTACGAATGCTATTCTACGAACGCTATTCTACGAATAGAAAGCTATTCTACGAACGCTATTCTACGAATAGAACGCTGTTCTACGAAAAGAACGCTGTTCTACGAATGGTGTTCTAAGAGCGCCCAGAGTCGTAAATCATTTAAACTCCCGTCCGACAAATGTGCCCTAAACCCAACAACACAACTTCTTAAGCACCCATTTACAGGCGCCTTCCATGGCCCTTTGTGTTTGTCTTGTGTCTTCATAACAAGCTAAGAAGTCGTCCTGCTTGGCAGGAATTTCCCTGGTACCGAGGTGAGAAAGGAAAACTTGTTTTGTCAACTATCCTGTTACAGTTTTTCAGTGAGAACAACGTAGTCTCTTCCAAGCTCCAGAGGTGGCTTGAAATAGTAGAAATTGGCCAAATAGACAGACAATATGCCAAGGGAGTTGGTCTGCTAAAGAAGTACAGTTTGCCGCTCCTTTGGCTGACCAAATACCCTGGCATGTTATTTGTCTATCTTGCCAATTTCTACTCTTTCCAGCCGCTTCTGAAGCCTGGTAGAGGCTAATCACATTTGGTTCTCTCCTAGATTTACAGTTTGTGTGGCCGAGACCAACTTTACAGAGGTTCGCCCATCAAAGATACGACTGAAGTCTGCGTGTTACCGTGAAACACATGGTCATTCCGGGAGGCTTTACGGCAAATAAAACACACACACATGGGCAAGAATACTTCTGCGCTATGTTCGCACATACCTGGTGGAAATTTAGATAATACTAGTACATGTAGTCTTTCCAAATCTATAATTTTCTTAGTAGGCCCCAATCATGGCCTGTTTTATAAATTTTATTTATAAAATATCAATATACATAAATATTCTGATCATTTGAAACAGTAACTTTTTCAAGGTGTTCTCTAAAAGTTTGGGGATTTGGATGAACTTGGGCTACTATTGGTACTAGAAACCTGTCTCAAACATTAAGCTATTATATAAGTGAGCCCAGATGCACTTGAAGATTGGAACACGTTTGACTAAAGTCCATGTCCAAATTTGGCCTGCCTGTAATCACGTGAACACCATCCAATGTCCATCCATCAATGAGACAGGTGTGAGTATTTACCCTGGGTACGAGAGTGACATTCCTGTCAGCTCGGTCAAACAGACCGGAAAGACCCTTTTCTGTGGCTGATGTTGACAAAACAACAGCCTGTATCGTGAGCCCAGACATGCGAGCTAGGCTGACCCTATATTCTGTCTAAACCTGATCTCCAAGCAGATGCAAGGGTGGCAAATGACAGTATCAAATAGTGGCAGTACGACATTGGACCGTCGATATGAAGGTTAGACATCCAGGTAATAATATACACCAACCAGTTACTGAAGCAACTGGATATGATTTTGGAAACGGTCAGACGTTTTAGGTAATATTCACTACCTTTCGTCAGTGACACTAAGAGACTGCAGGAAAAATGCAGGTTTATAAGCACAAACTATTGATTGAGATGACAATAATAAAGATATCATTGGCAGACTAGTGTCCATTTGCCACCCGAAGTTTGGTTTGCAAAAAAAAAGATACCGGTACAAAAAAGGAAGCCCGATAAAAACTCATTCAAGTGTGCGGAACAAAACTGCATAAGTGGATGGTGTCTGTGTATGCAGTTCACAAATGTACGAAGAGGAAAACAAGGCATGCAACACAATCCAGATATGATTAGAACCATGCAGTGTCCCCAGCGATCCTAAAGTCACCTTATACTTGAACTTAGAGGTGCCTTGCAGTATATCTAATACTCCAGTCATGCTATCCCGCTGGGTGTCAAAAAGTTAAACTTTTACAGACAAGCCGAGCCGTGGAGGTGTGGAGAGAACACTCCTGCTTTTCTCATACCAAATTTTACTCTAACAAAACATGGAATTCTTTTTAAAAAGCTGGCCAGCGGGGGCCAAGATGGGAATAGTAGAAAAATGGGGAGTTGGCCGGCCATAAAAGGTTCAATTTGCCTTGTATACATTCCCTTTTTAGACCGATTTCTACCAATTGATATTTATTCAGCCTAGAAATAAGTCTGGTGCAGACTAGTAAATTGTGTAAGAATTGTGTCACTTCGTGTTTTACTGGCCAGTCTTTCCCTCCTGACATCTGCTTGGTTTTCAATCATACGGTATTAACCGATGAACGAACGTGATATTCAAGGCCCAAGGCAAAAAGTTCAGAGACAAGCTGAGTTGTGTTGCGAACTCTGACAGTAAGTTAATCCTGACATAGTTTAATAACGTGAGTGTTATAACTCACGTCCTCCCCTCACAAAACGTGTACCCAATATTTCACCTGCGACTTTTCACCTGAAAGGTTACAGGAACTTTAATTGGAAACTCCCCTCGCACAGGGGTGTCGGGAAATTACCCAGCTATGGGGGCAGTTAGGGTCACAGACTGTTGAGGTTTAGCTTTCAACATTGGCAGACATCCTGAATTAGATACACGTATGGGGCGGGAGGACTAGTCCAGTGGCAAATTGGTCTTGCGGTTGTTGACTAGACAAAGAGTACAGTTCGGGAGTGGCAAACTGTACTCTTTCGTGGACCAACTCCCCTGGCGTGTTATCTGTCCATTTGGACCAATTTGTTAGATTTCTACTCTTTCTATCCATTTCCCCAGCCTGGTAGAGTCTAGATGTTGACAAGAATCTGAAGGTTCTGGGTTTGAATCCCTGGTAGGCCCAAGTGATGTGCGCTTGGGAAAGGCACAGTCTACACCTATTTCCTCTCCAGCTTTACGTCCCATCGATATCCAAGAAGACGTCCCTAACTGAAGCTAGTTACTCATTTTCACCCGAGTTGAGTGAGGAAATATGTGTAAAGAGCCAGCCTTTCCAAATGGACACGGCATCGGGGCCTTTGTAAGGGATTCGAACTCAGAACCTTTAGATTGTACGTCAACAACCTTAATCACAAGACCGCCATTCCAGTTATGAGCCGCATACATGTACTTCCTAGTCTCTTGCAGGCTTCGGAAGCTGGAATACCGGTAGTAGAATTGGCCAAATAGACAGATATGCCAGGGGAGTTGGTCTGCTATTTCTAGCCGCTTCAGAAGCCTGGTAGAGACTAAAAATGTTCCCATTTAAGACTTTAACACAAGTTTTATGTCCACCTTGAGAGAGATGACCTTCCCCTGACCCCGGCCCTGTTCGGAGGCAGAACAGTGGAGAGTTTGTTTCCCTGCTACTGAAAGTGTCCATCTGAGAAGGACCCGGTTCTACTAAAGGGCCCGACATCTGTGTGCCAGGGATACAGGAGTCTCTGGGTTTGTTATTATGATAGTCCTGAGAAAGAGTTCAAAAGGGCTACTCTCCAAGCAGAGGTTGATGGGGAAGATTGAGAGCTTAATTCCTCTGTGTATGCGTCGATGAAGGTTAGACATCCAGGTAATACAATACGCCAAAAAGCAGTTACTCAAGCAATTGGATATGATTTTGAAAACGTCAGACGTTTCAGCTAGTATCCACTAGCTTTCCTCTGTGTATGGTTTTCTGACAGCAGGCATAATTAAAATTGGCTGCCTATTGGATATTGTCTTGCACCTTGTGCAGTGTTGCAGCATCTTTGCCACCTACAGATGTGTTTGGAGATTAAAAAGGCACATATTTTGTAAAAAAATAAACATGGGATAGTAAGTTTGTGCAAGGAGGTTAATTAGATAACCTCCTTGGTTTGTGTCAGCAAGTTTCAGGTTATAGGACTCGACAAATGTCAACTCACAGTTATAAAGAAACTCTCCATCAAGGGGAGTAGCTTGTTAGGCTCACACTTTATGCTGTTTTTTAGTCTTATTCAAAGTCGCCAAGACTGTCAGTGGTTTGAAAGCTCAAACCACAGGGTCAGGGGTTTATGCTAAGCCTCATACCAGAGTGCTAAAGCCTATTAAAATGCATGAAGGCTGTGTTACTGTTTAAGGAGCTTCAAGTTCACTCCTACTGTGCTGTTGATTGAAACCTATACACTGTGTAGTGTCAAGTTTTCTGGAAAGGTCACCCGATGAACTGGACAGCCAACATTTGGTAGCAAATGCAAATTATTGCCCTCCCAGCGAGGAGCTTCACTGCTCCCAGCCTAAAGGGTTGTCCAATGACATACTAGTACATGTACATGCAGCGCCCCCTAGCAGAGTAAGGAGTACTGCAGGATTGCATTCACACAAAGTAATAAGTATTCAATGATCAAGTACATTGTTGTTGTTCTTATTTTTGTTGATACTTACTTATAAAAAGTGATCTTTTTGTTGAAATGCAAAATTCATATTCCATTGCATACCCACCAACCCCTTTTCCCCTGCAATTTCCCTATAAAACAATGGCTTTATACCTTATAGCACTGTTTTACCATTCCCTGTTATATCCCTGCTATATACTTGTTCAATAATTTTTCATACATGATCATGAGTTGTTGCTGGCAATTTCAACAACATTTTGTCACCCTGCAGTATTGCAGATATAGACAAGTTATTGCACCCTGTTCAAGCCCCTAAAAAGGACTCTTTCTCTGCAAGGCCACTAAAAAGCTATACCAGAACAACAGTATGTGAACCAAACATAACAGAACAAACAAACTGTTTAACAAACATCATATAGTGACATAGTTGGACAGTAAGTTTAGCAGCTCTGTCCTGCTGACATGGTGAGTTTGACTCTTTTCCCTAGAGCCCTTTCAAGAGAATATTACTAGAGACATTGAAAATCGGAGAGCAAATATGGCTGAAAGATGACAATGAACATAAGAAACTAACAAACAAACATCATATGGTGACAGACTTGGAGAGTAACTGTAGCAGCTCTGTCCTGCTGACATGGTGAGTTTGTGTCTGTTGTTCTGTCTGCTGGATCAACTCAAACTTCTGGTCAGACTCCAGGGCCTGTGAAGGGAACAAAACAACATCAGGTCAGACTTATAATGATCTCAATCTAGTTTAGATGGTTAGATGTCCTAGTGGATCATTTCGTAATATAATTGTACACAAAAATAATCAAGTGCCAGGTTTTCAAATAACATCCACTATGTTTCCGCAACAGAGTAATCAAATCTTGGATAGTGAATGTGAGTGATGTTTCATCAGTGGCTGAACGAGGTAGGGTTAACATTTTTTCCCAGGCCCTCCCCCCAGGTCAAAAAAATTTTCGTAGGCCCTCTCCCTGGTTTAATTTTTTTCCAGGCCATATAGAGAAAATTTTGAATTGAGGGCGTTGATTAAGATTTTCATTGAACAATTTCTCCCCAATTGAGTGCTCAAGATGCAAATTGTTATGCCGAAGGCAATCTTAACCCTCTGAAATGGTATTTCCTGCATTTAAGCAAATTTTGATGGCGTGACAGCATGGGATCCAGTCGGTAGAAAATGTAAAGATCTCTTAAATGTGACTTGAAATCCACACTTTAAGTCAGAAATCCACCCACCTGTTTCCCTACTACTATAACATACGGGTATCCCAGAACATTGGCATCCTTCAGCCGTTTGCCGATGGTCATGTGACTCCTGTCGTCCAATAGGATCTCTCCCCTGAGATGAGGTAGTTGTTGAGGAATGATGTCACACAGCTCCTCTGCCAGCTGTGAAGCAGACTCCTCCTTACTGCCTTTCTGTAAATTTAACATCAAAATGGCAGGTTAGACAAAAAGAAAGGAAAGTGATCTCAATACAGTTTTAGCTCACTGAAGAGCTACTCTTCCTCTGGTTGTGACAGAGAAGACAGATGCTATGTGCAGCATTTACAGGTTCATTGTATCGGGGAAATTCCCCTAGCTCTTTTCGACAGGTACAGTGAACAGTGCACCACAGCTTAACATTCTGTCCTAAGGACTGTGACCCTTTCCAGTAGTGTGCATGTTGGGTGAACGATAACAGACGGGATTTGAACTCCAACCTCTTGGTCCAGAGGCAGGATCACTAACCACTGGACTATGCACGCTACTAGTGTTCTAGCCAGCCTGCCATTTTTTGTAAAGTGGAGGTCTCAAAAACTCTCATGTTTGAGGAGAGCCACACCTCGAGCACATGACAGATCCCACAGCATTAGTGAAAGGGTAGGGTTCCTTCCCAGTGTAAGTGGTTCAAACCTTACAGTCTGGTTTTACACAGCTTGTACTGTTCAAAACTGGTGTGTTATGCCTAAAGGTGTTTTACCTTAGCCTGGGTTCTGTCCAGATTTTGCTCCACTACGCTACAAAAAAATCGTAGCAGAGCAAAATCCAGATGGTACCCAGGCTAAATTTACCTGTTATGTGAAAAAACAAAACAAACATGTACCTTAGGAGGGATGATGTAGACTTGATAAGGTGCGATGACCCCAGGCCACCTGATCTGATCGTCCAATGACAGGACTTCTAGAGCTGCTGCTAGGATCCGAGTCATGCCCAGACCGTAACAACCCATCTCACATAGTCTGTGTTAGAGAGACATGAACAACAAAACAGTTACCATTTTTCATCATTAATACATGTAGTTTGAGTTTGAGTTTTATTTAGATCCACAATTAGCCTCATAAGAGGCTATTCTTCCTGTGGTTTACACATTCATATGTACATACATGTATTACAAACGTACAAAAACATTACAAAGTTAACAGTATGTAGCAAACTTGACACAATTCCTTAAATACACTATTTACAGTCCAGTACTTTGCTAGTTGTACTGTGAGAAAGCACCTTTTCTGAGAGTTGGTTAAATCATTCACACTAGTAGTTATGACCATATCAAGTACCTTTATCATAACACTAATGGGAACATACTCTGTCATTTTACTTTGCATAGGGATAAGAGTGTAATCTTGTCTTGAGTAAGAGCTAAAATATAGTGCTTGAACAATTAACATAAACTAGAGTCTGGGGGGAAGTATATACAAGTACCTTGCATCTTACATGCTGTTATGAAAAAGTGACTATAATCAGGTTCAACTTTTCCTTACAGCCCTCAATTTTCATCTTGATGAGTCTTGCTAAATTTCATAATTACATCAGAATGTCCAAGGACCAAAGAAATAGATTGTTTGGGCAGTAAAATACACCAAGGCTTACTGTGGCTGTCCCTTGTTGTTGAGAAAGCTTGCGTTGAACACAGAGGAGTACTTAGTTCCGAGGTAGAAGGTGTGTCCCACCTCGATGCCCTGTGTGAGGGAGAGGGGACCTGAACAGGAGGGGCAGGACGTCTGGTCTTCAGCTGGTGGGAGAGATGTCCGTGTTAGTCTAGACCAAAGAGGTTTTTCTAAACCTACATATGCATGTACTTGTCTTTATCTATCTGTATTCAGTATTTGTTTACTGGAAATTGTCAAACTTTTGCAAGTATGTACACTTTGAATTAGCCCAGAAAAGATGAAAAAACAGTCAAAAATAAAAGTTTCGGTGCTACTGAATTGAGCTATAAAGATAGACTGCAAAATCATAGGTGAATGAATACACAATGCAAGTTATATACTGGACATACCCATGGCCTCTTTGTTTGCTCCAAAACTGCATCTGTAGAGGAGAAATGGGAGATAAGGATGAGAAAATTTCTTGTCAAAATCCTTACTTTGATGTTGTTAAAAGTGTTATAGAATTTTAACTTAATTGCATAAACAAAGAACCAAACAAGCAAGCAAACAAACAAACAAACAAACATACTTGGCACAGACGAGTAGCTGATCCTCCCCTATGTCAGCCGGCAGGTGGTACTCATGGGACAGACTGCCTCCAATGTCACCTGGGTCTGCCTCAACTGGATACACGGGGAACGGAATTTACCAGTTGTTACAACTGATAACTCACCATGTGGATTAACAATCCATTAAACAGTCATTTATATCTTACCGTCTACTACAGACTGTATCTGTAATTATGGAGACATACATTGTACATGTATTGCTTTCAAAGTAATCCATCCATCGCTGGATCTATTTTGATTTACGCAATTGTATTTTTTATAGATTTTTATGGATGCAACTTCTCATATACTGACTTACCCTGGGAAAGGGTACCGATTGACCTGGATCAGGTGAATAGTACTAGTATTACTGTTCTATTGCTCACCACATTCTAGTCTGTATTACATGTAATTGTTGGTTGCTGTTTTGTGCACTGGCACCTAAAGACATGACTGTATTGATAACAATAACGAGAGGTATGATAATAAGAAAATAAGGAGACACAAAGATAATGTACCTCTGACATAGTCCAGTCCCAGTCTGTTGAAGACCCTGCTGTAAGCCTGACCAACACCTTCATATGTGTCACAAGCTGTTTCCTCACTTGTATCAAAGGTGTACAGGTCTGGAGTTGGAGGGAAGGAAGTTAAGTCACATACATGTGTATCTTATACAGTCACATATACAGCAAAAACCTAAGATCCATAGATGCATATGGACATACATAATATGCAATGTAGCTCCTTCTTAAGTCCGACTCAAATCCTACTTAAATTCTTCCTTAAGCTCCTAATTAAATCATTCAATAAGAGAAGATTGGAATGCTACAACCAATAGGATAAAGTGACTCAATATTCTATGGCATGTAGCAAATTAAGACCTTGTAAAGAATACAATCATAGCTCCTACTTAGATTAGTCATTCACAGTAATATAACTAGCAGCCATTGAATGTCTGCAAAGCTTCAAACAATTTCAATCAAACCAGTGTGCAATGGTTAGATTGATTTTGCCATGAGATGCATGGGTACAGTATGGTGTGTGAGTCCGTAGAGTGTAAAATCAGAAGTATGGAACTATTAGACGGGCTACAGTGGTCCTTACCTTTCATAAGGAACTCCCTGCCTCTGAGGAGGCCAAACCTTGGTCTCCTCTCGTCTCGGAACTTTCTTGTGATCTGGTAGACTTTGATGGGCAGCTGTTTGTAGGACAGGTTTGACTGGGCAGCTACAATCTCTGTTACTGCTTCCTCATGGGTCTGTAAATACAAAACATATCTGGAAACACGTACACAGATATCCAAAACATTGCCTTCATTTTCACAGGGGTAAAAAGACAGTGTGCCAGACATAAATGGCTATAAGTTAGTATAACAAGTGAACAAAATTTGTGCTTCTGTACACTGAACTTAGTGGGTCTGGAATTAAGTGGAAACATAAAATCACAACCTGTTTCAAATCTTGGATGTTTTGCTGCATGCAATATCAAGGAAAGCTGCCAGAAAGCCAAAAATATCTTTGCAAGACCAACACAAATTTACCTCCTAAACAGTTAATATCTCCCATTTTCAAGCAGCACATATTGTGCTGGATTTCATATGGCTGTAGCAAGTTCTTGCTGCTATGTAGACTGTCAAGACTGTTCTCCCATGCAAGGATGCCCCCTGTGAAATCATCTGAGTACTGCATCAAAGGCTTGCCATACATGCTGTGACAGAATAAAGACTAATAACAAATGCATAGATCTCACCGGTCCTAAGCAGTAGTCAGCCTTGTGTCTGTCCTGCAGCTTGAATAGTTCAGTACCCATCGTGTCCCATCTGTCTGGGGATAAAATACACTTATTTTGTACTTCTATCTGAAGATTACATGTGTACAAAAACAGCCATGGAAAAACGTAAATCTATATTGACTGTTACAAAAGTTACAGGTTGATAACCAAGTTGATAAAGGTTACAGGCAGTACTGTCTTAAACAACATACTAAAGTAGCTGTTTGGGTACCGATTCTCTATTGGCTATGGGGTAGGCACCTTGCCTTAATGTAATTTGTAGCCCATCAATTCTGATTTGTGATGTCCCCTTTGGAAGCTTGAAGGCAACATCAAATTATATTTCATTATGACATTGCTTGATTAAATACAAGAAAGGAAAAGCAAGCATACAGACAGAGCTCGAGTGCTAGCCTGGTTATCCATGAACTTTAAGGATCAGTCTGTTACCTGTGGCCTTCCACAGGTCACCCGGGGTCAAGGTGGGCATCTCGACCTTCTGACCCCCGATGGAGGCCATCTCCTGGTCCACCAGCCTGACCAGTTTCTCCACAGCCCGCAGCGCTGGAGCCATCAGGTGGAATGTTCCGGGGTGGGCCTGCCGAATCAGACCTGTCTGGAGCATCAGCTGAAATATCAGAATGAAAAGTGAAAGTCATTTTGAATGAGTGAAAGTGATTCTGAACCACTGTGAAAGTGGTATTGATAGGACCAGTTTCTCCACGGCCCTCAGCGCTGGGGCCATCAAGTGGAACGTTCCGGGGTGAGCCTGGCGAATCAGACCTGTTTGGAGCATCAGCTGCAAAATTTCATAATCAAGTTTACTGTTTAGTGCAACTTCATGAACTCAATGCACAGTTGAGCTACTCTTCCATTGGATTGACAGAGATTAAACAGATGCTAATTTTTTGTACACAGGTTCATTGTACCAGGGAAATTCCCCAAGAGACAAGTGCAATGATCACAGCTTAACATCCCATCCTACGGAAGTTGTAACATTTCCCAGTAGCACAAAATTTTATGGTCTTCCTCACAAAATAATGAACCACGCCAGACTTCTTTCCACACCAGAAGTCTTTTATTTTCCCTTATTGAGTGAATTTAGCATTTCCTATTTATCTATTAATGACAATATTACTACAACGTATTGAGGTATACATTTACATTTTTTTGCACATTCAACGTGTAGCATGAAGTTTCTTGACACAAACTTGATGCTATCAAAATATCAATTTTGTATCATTTTAACTCACCCTTTGGCTCTTGCAAGTGAGTTCCTTCCCCTTGCTTCCTGTGACTTTACCCTGTCTTGTAGACATGGGCTGGAACATGTTGGACACCCTCAGTCTGCCATCGTGCAGATATCGTCTGAGAACACGCGTGTGGGCGACTTCTCTGTTCAACAGAGCCAAAAGCTGAGCTGACGTGCACCTAAACACTCTCATGGTATAGCAGTGAATGGAACACTTGTGGGGAGGGGGGCATACAATAACTCCGTTGTATCCGACGTTTTAACCCTTGTCAGTAAAGAAAACTTGCCGTTTTCTGACTAAACTTATCTGGAAACGACTTATAAAGGCAGAACGCGTAACATGGAGCCCTTTTTGGTCATGAATCAAGTCAAATCTGACCGAAAATAAAATCCAGGTCAATTTTGTCGTCTGTGCAGCGCCATTTTGAAAATGTCAAATACCACGTGACTAATTTCTGCAACTTGATTGGTCAGTTTTAAAGAAAGTCGACTCTGATTGGTCAGTATCGCAAAGTGACCTTTACCCTTTCCTCGGTGTAAATTTCGTCAGCAAGAAGAGATTTTGGAGGCAGAAGACCAAAATCCAACCACGTTTTCAGGGTTTTTCTTTCTTCACGTTGTCTTCTAAGGGACATAAATAACTTCACCTGCAACGTAAGTTTCTTGTAAGCATTTGGAAATATGTTAGATTGCGTTTACAAGTCCAAATCGGACAGAATATAAGCGAAACTTGCGCGATTTTTTGCAGAATAATTTGTGGGAGGGGTGCAAATTATGTTTCAGCTTTAGCTGCTTTGCAAAAAACAATTTATGCATTCTCGACAAGTAAATAGGAACTCATGTTAAGCCTTAAGACTAATATATTATGTTATAATGTTACAAAGTTAGTGTTCCATGCACATATAACGTTAGTAAGTTGTTGTTAGTGTTACAACCCACACGTGCATAGACTTTCGATTAGTTAAAAGGTGATACGAATTCAAATATTTGCGCCTTTCCCACCCTAATTCCGTACCAGGGTGCGGCGATTTTATTGACATAACACACAAACAGCGGTCATACACAGCCATTAAAACGTCACGTCCGTATCCGGGTGTATATTTCTGTGTTTTTATGATCCTAACTTGACTTTGGACCCGAATTCTGGTGACGACATGATCTCTCACAGTCACAGGTCTTACCCCGACAGGAGGAGAATGGTAATGAAGGGGGCGTTTTACTAGTATAGTCTAGAGAGAAACCATATGGCACACTATCATTTTTCTATTCTCCATTACATGGCATATATTATGGCATATGCATTAGCATGCAAATATTTTTCTTTCAACAAATAAGACAGTTTTTATCTGGAACTAGTACCCAATCTCCATTCTGCTGCCATAAAAGCACAGGTGTTACTTAATTCATAGCCTGGATGCCAGACACTAGGTCCAAAGTTAATATAAGCTTTGGGCCTAGTGTGCTATGGGTCTAGCATCCAGGCTACTTGATTCCTAGCTGGATAGCCTGGGTACTATTGCTTTGTTTGCTAGTTAGGTTATGTACTGACAGCTTCTGTACTTGCTATGTAGACACTGAGTAACAAGCGTCGGAACTAACAAAGAGCTACAGTTTCCACATAGCAAAAAAAACCTACTCGGCTCTCTTTATTCTTTTGGGCTTGGGACTCTCTTTCCTTTATCCTTACCCTAATGCTATAACCAACTCTACTCTACTCTACTGTGCTATTGTGAATGTAGAAGTAAGTTTTATGCTATTTTCCAGGCCACCATGCCGGGTGATGGGAAGGAATCGGAGCTGACTGAGAGGATAGAAACTTTCATGGGGCAACTCAGACAAAGGTTGGGCATCTGCATCTTGTTTGGTATAACGCATCAGCATATATATTATTATATATATATTATAACCTTCTGGTTTTGACTACTAGTAAAAGAAGAATAGAAACAACCTAGCTACAGAAAGACAGATGTTTATTATATACAGTTTATGCAGATTTATTGTACGATGTACCAGGATCTAGGAAAACTCTCCTGCTCTTTAATTTGATAAGTACAACAATGTACAACCAAAAAGTTTTGGGTGGTCCCTTAGATAATTTTCCCATTGACACAAACATTCAGAATCCTGTCCATAGTGACCACCTGCCCTCATAGACCAGATTTTTATCAGTTCCCTGAGTGGTCTTCTTGGGCAGGTTTATTGACTGTAATCTTGTATTTTCTCCCCTGCAGACAAACCCCAGGTTCCTACAATGTAGCCTACACCACGCTGGACATCCTACGCAGGGTCGTGTCACAGACCAGATGGCAGACTGCAAAGTAAGTACTGATTTTAGAACCTCACTACTACGGTAAGCCATTTTTAAGTTTACTCTACCCCTATATGTGTAATAACATCTTGTGTACTTGCACCAAAATAAAATAAAATAAAAGTGGATCCTACTAGTATCTCAAAGATTACAATATTGAAAACCAGGAAAACTTGTAAATAGCTATTGTTTTTGGACTGAAACACTGGTATGTAAACCCTCATATGCTCATATGAATTCACCACTAAAAAAGAAAGTTGGCTATGTACATGTATAACTTACAGATGATTGCCTAATCTTGTTTACATGTAGGTACAGCTAGATAGTTGTATGGCTACATGTATGTTTGTGTTCCTGTGTGCAGGGACCTGATGGTGATAGTGAAGAGAGAAGGCAGGAGACTGGTCAGTGCACAGCCTTCTGAGACGGTGGTCGGAAACATGATCAGGAGAGGTCAGTGGGTTGCCATGGCAACAGCACAGTTAACAATTTCATTGACTCAGCAAATTCAGAACCCTTTTGTCAGTATCTAGGCATGTTAAAGTCTATAGTCTTACCTTCGGGTGTTTTCAATGCAAAATGTTCCTTGAGAAATTTGAACACTTTCATCTTTTTACTGATATCGAGTATGGTTTATCATAGGCATGTTTCTATTTAACTGCAGCCTAATCAGTCATATTTTTCCTTTCTGTAGTGTTGAAGATCATCAGAGAAGAATATGCCAGGTGGGTTGCTAGTTTTATAAAGTTAACATCTGTAGTGTATAACTAAATTTGAAATGTGAAATAGAACTTCTTGTCATTTTCAAATTTCTATCAATTGTAGTGTTTCTAAACACTGTAGTGTTTAAAAAACAAAAGTAGTAAGAGACTTTTCAATCCCTTGTTAACATGTAGATTACGAGGCCAGAATGAGGAAGGTGACCAGGAATCTCTACATGTAAGAAACTTTCTTTACTTTGCAATTACTAGGCACCTGTATAATTTGACTGTGTAATTTTGTTTAGTTTATCAATATACATGTACATATTAATGTACTTTAATGAAGAGAAGCTGAATATATAAACATTTCTGTATTTTCCACAGAAACTGTTGGTGGCAGGAGTAGAAGATGATGACTACAGTCTAAGTCTACATGGACTCAAGGTGAAGTTTTTGTTGTCTTCTAAAAACACATGAAAAGCACATCTGCATGTGCGGTGTATGTCACTTGCTGATAGAAGAAAGATAACAGACTATGCATGTTTGTAAAATTCTTTTTTTTGTACCAATTTGATCTTCTTTAGCCCAGAATGACAGATGATGTAACTGTAACATCTCAACTGTGTCTTTCCCCAGCCTGCAGTCATAGAAGCCATCAATGAGATGATGACTGAACTGGAGAGCAGGTAACTTCTCCACCAGACTATAGAATATACAAATGATGACTGAAAAATCGTCAGATTCAGCCAAATAGTGCGACTAATTTGCCAGGGGAGTTTGGCCACCATAGGACATCATTTGCTTGCATAGTTAACTGCATCTCATTCACCCTATGTTTGCTGCATTATACTGTCCATGATTAGGAAGGTCTTGTGGAGGCTTGTTATACAGTAGATGTACAAATAGATAGTTACAAATACATGTACAAGTTATTTGGATGATGAAAGATGCACAGCTTGTGTGCTAAAGATACTCTGTCACCATTTCTAAATGTAATACTGAGATATAAGTTTCCCCGTATGTTCTCCCCTCCAGTGCAGACAACATCGCCATGCAGGCTCTAGAACACATCCACTCTAATGAGATTATCATGACTGTGGGACGGTCACGGACAGTCGAGTCTTTCCTAAAGGTAGTAAAGGCTTGTACAATTTCTTCTGTTATTAATGTTTAGTCACAGCAGTTGGCCTAGAACCAAGAGGTCCTGGGTTTGATTCCTGACTACCCAATGTGCCCTTTGAAAACTAAAGGCACTTGACTAGTTTCACATAGTTTTCCAGGCAGCTCTGTCCAAATGGTCCACTGAGCAGGAATTTAAAAAGAAAAAACTTTTTTTTTTAAATTTTCAGAGTGCTGCAAGAAAAAGAAAGTTCCAAGTGATTGTTGCAGAAGGAGCTCCTTTCTACCAGGTTTGTGCAAGTTTGTCTTTTTTCTTTTAATTTATAGCTGATTCTATTAAAATGACTGAGTCTTTAGAGAATTTATCCAGTTGCTTCATTTTTGTTCAACTATACTGGTAACAGAACCTAATCAAATAAGAACCTAACCAAGCAAGTTTAAACTGTAATTTCTAACACAAGAAAATTGCACTTCCTCAAATTTTCAACTGTACAACTCTAGACTTTGTCATGGAATGGGCAATCCACCACTTCAGTGATGTCATGTTATTCGGATGACACACATGACAAAGGTTTCAGAAAGTCTGTGGCACCCTCTGTCTTTGTTAGCCTGAGTACCATCCTACTTGTATGCCGGGGCTCCCTTAGGGAAGCGAGTGTGGGAGCTCCGGCATACAAGTAGGATGGTACCCAGGCTATGTCTTTGTGTCTTGAGGGATGGTTGCAATGTCCTGATGTAGAACCTTTTTGTTTCCCCCCTTTAGGGTCAGGTCCTGGCTAAGAACCTAGCTGAGAAGGGGATTGAGACAGTCGTGATCACAGACTCCGCTGTGTTCGCTATGATGTCACGGGTCAACAAGGTCATCATCGGAACTCATACAGTCATGGCTAATGGGGGGTGAGTTTAACACCGGGCAATCAAGTACCATTAATTTTCCGTTGAAATTTAACCCTTGTCCTGCGGAGCCCAATAGTTGTTGTTTTGCACATACAGTACCATCCATATAGCACTCTGTATAGGTACGATTTGGCGGTGTTTCTCGTGCAACACATCACACCACAGCGAAACGCAACAAATGCGGAAGTAACTATGCCACTGCAGGGCCAAAAAAGTCAGGCGTTAATGACCTGATTACGACAAGAAATTATCGGAAAATATTGCATAATGAATGCCAGCAGGCCAAGGGTTAAGTTTTACAAGGAAGAGTGGTTGAATTACACTCTACAACAAAGTGTTTTGTCCAGGATTTGTTGTTAGCATTCTTTAGAGGTGACATTGTGAGTTATAGCCACTCCTGAATGAATGGTTTATTTTACAAATTACACATCGTACAAAACATACAGTAGCAGCCATTATCGGCTGAAATGATGTATGATTTACATTACATTGTTAAAAAGCTCCACTCAGTGATACTTAGGTAACGTAGCATTTAACGAAGCATGCTTAGATTGACTGTAACTCTTTTCTCAAAAGGAGCAGATTGCTATCATGATTTTAACCACAACTTTATACTTTTATTTCTATGCTCACACAGGTTGAAGGCCATTAACGGCAGCCACGGAATCGCTCTGGCTGCGAAGCACCATTCAGTGCCTGTAAGTTTAATGCTATAACCTCTTTGGTCTTTTGTAACAAAAAAAGATGTTAGGTAACTGTTTGATCGAACTTCATCTTTCACATCAGGATTTTTCTGTAACTATAGGCCACACCAATTTAATTTGTTGGTTCTCGGATTTTTTCAGAAAAAATATGAAGCGACAGGGCGAAAAAAAATAAAAATAAAAACAGGTCTAGGCATCCTATTATAGGCTTAAATGCTACGAAACGAGCCATGAAGTCAACACAAAAGGCTGGGTTAAAATTTAAACATTGAATTTTGAACTTTTAATCAAACCACTGCATTGATAGATGGGAAAACTGTAACAACTAGGAAGAAAAGGACTTTCCTCAACTGTTGGGGGCAAAATATGAGCATTTTTCAGTTGATTCAGAAACAGAATCATATTTTTTTTTTTTCTTTTTCAAATCAGAAAAAAAACGAAGAGGCGAATCCGAGAACCAACATATTAAATTGGTGTGGCCATATATACAAATCTATTGTAATTTTCTTAAGAAGCGCAGAGTGTAATTGACCTTGATGTCCTGTCATTTCCAGGTTATTGTCTGTGCGTCCCTGTTCAAGTTGTCACCACAGTTCCTGGTGTCATCAGACCAGGTACGGCTGGGTTTAGTTGTTGTTACCTTAAAGTTATTAAATTTTTTCAGCATTAGATAAGAGCTAGAGTTTGATAATGATTATAAAGCACAAGTGGTTATAAGTGTGCTCAATGTTAAGTCTGTCTCTAAGAATACAAGTTGAATGCTAGAAAAAAAAAGACAGAAACCTAGTAAAAAATGTTGTTTTTTTCCCAACAGGCTGCTTTCAACAGATTTGTGTCTCCAGAAGAAGTCTTGAGTTTTTCTGAAGGTGAGACAAAGTCAACTCTTCCACGATGACACAACACTGCATGTCGATATCACTGAAATGGATGCTCATTGCTCAGGGTTGTTTGGAGCTCTGGTCTTAGACACTTTCTTGTTTTTAGGGTTGTTGACACAAATTGTAAAAGTTCTGGGTTTGAATCCCAAGTGATCACACTAGCTGGAACACCCGTATGAAACGTTATTGTGGCCCAAGATTCAAGATTCAAGATGAATTTATTGGTTCTTCACAGTTAAAAACAACTGAATTGTAGACCAATTTACAAAACATTGGTATATTAAAAACTACAGGTTTGCAATCAATATAGACGTACGATTACCAAACCAATAAAAATACATGTTCCATACATTATAAATATGACATAAATAGTACTGGAAGTTTTCTGACTGTTGACCCCCCCTCCCCTCCCACAGGAGACCTGGTGTCGAAGGTCCACATCCCCAACCCTGTGTTTGACTACGTCCCTCCAGAACTGGTCACACTCTTCATCTCTAACATGTGAGTCTTCAAGCCTAAGCTAGAACACTTGGGCAATATTTAGATCTACAATTAGCTTGTTTTTGTACACGTTCTATTGATAAGGCATGCGGTAAACAAAGCCTTTCTTTTCTTGCCTGATTGTCAGCCATTTTAGCTTTCGTCTGCTCCCCACGATCCTTCTTCTTCTTCTTCCCTTTGCGTGCTAACCTCAATAGGTTGAGGGCTCCAGCAATCCACTACCGGCCTAAAAGGTAGCAGATCGTGGGGAGCAGACAAAAGCTAAAATGAATGACAATCTTTTCAGCATGTTTTGGATGTTTCAAATGATTGTAGAACTCTTTGAAATGTGTGAAATCTACATTGATTGATTACCTGTAACATGTTCACACTATAAGGCCACACCAAGTAAATTTTATGGATGACGTCCGCGCGCGCATTGATTTTGGCCTGTTCGTAAAAAAAAAAACAAGAAATTCCGCTTCCTGTAACTATGACCAAATAGTCACGACAGTGCCGCAAATAGGTTTGTACGGACCAAAGCTTATAAAGCATCAAGCAAGGCTTCCATTAGGAATTCAGTTTGGTACATGCTGCCACATTTGAAGAAACTTGCTGACCGCTCCATCTATCTCCCCAAAGCACAGGATGACAACTGCTGTTCCACCTGATTTATTGCTGTTTTGATGATGAATAAAAGACTTCTTGCTTGTTACACTGTGTCACCTCATTCAATTTGTGTCCTTACATTTGTCGTCTCTTAGTATATTTCTAATCTAGGCATCTTGTTTTTTAGGGCCCTTCTTGTTTTTTTTTCGCCCTCTCGCATTAGATTTAGGGTCTCCAAAGGACGTCATCCATAAAATTTACTTGGTGTGGCCTAACAACCAGACATGCTTCCTCTTAAATCAGAATACTAAGAAATCTTTTTTGTTTTTGCAGAGGTGGCAACGCCCCTTCCTATGTGTACCGACTGCTGAGTGAGCTTTATCATCCAGATGACCATGATCTGTAGCACGTTATACACACTCGTTTTCCTTCCCTCGTCGAGAAAGACTATATATGTATGATATTGTGATCTTTGGGTGTCAGTGACTACCTTTAGCACAAAGGAAATGCTGAATAAAATTACTGTACTTGGAAAACTGCCTTTAAATTGTCTTATTTGCCTGCTGTGTGTCCTTATGAAGGAAAAGCCTTTGTTATGGGCAATTCTTTGCCTCTAAATCATTAATATTACACTCCTACTTGTACCTTTGCTTTAGTTTGTGAAAACTTAAAAGACTACAGGGACTATTCAGATGTTTCAGAAGAAAGAGCCACAGAAAGATGAAGACAGACTATTCCTTTGCAGAATTCTGAAGTGTTTATTTTGCATTTTGATACTGTTAAGTAAAGAAAAGCAAACAACCTATCACAACACAGGTTCCCTTTTTACCCACCAGCACAATTGTACACACATTTCCCAACTTCTTACAGAAGTATTTTGTTTGTACAGTTAAGGTGAAGCTATGAGTGCTATGAAAACTTTTATGATGTATTCACGGTTTTTGCAAGCATGGACTGAAGCATATTTTGTCTTACATCTGTGTTAATGTGAATTTTGTAATGTTATGAGAAAATTTTACTTCTGCAAGCCTTACCGAAAACTCCAACTCTCTCCCTCGCCATCTCAATACTTACATCTCTGAACATGCATATTACTGCTATGCAATAATTTATTTCAACTTTAAATACATCTTAATAATTCACACTGTCAAAACGACTATAACACTGGTTAGCTCCTTATAATATTCTGATAATAAAATCTACAATCATTATTGTATGTTGTGCATACCCTCCAAATTTGTAAGGTTATATCCACAAAATTCTGGACAAAGACAATACAAATGGTGCTCAACTGACAAGTGCCTTCTTTGCTAGCCTTTCTGTAATTAAAAACTAATTACAAAAGCTTGTCAGGGCTTTTATTGTACCCGCCCATCTCTGGACCCAGTGAGCACCCACCCTCAAACATACAATTTACATCAAACATACGTATCTTAGCACGGCAGGAAGCAACTGCAAAGCAACGTACAACCATACTGTTACCAACAAAAAACTGTTATACTTCCTTAACACTAGTATCAGAGATGATGTTATGTTTAAACTATCCTTTGCTTTCTAAACAGAGTTAGTTGTAAAATCTTGGATGATTTGTGAGAGTTTTTTGCTGCAGTTTTTAGTCTGGAAGTCCTTTCAAGTCAGCAGAATTTATTTACAAGGTGATGCAGGGATGGTTTTGCTTCTGTTTAAGCTGTCCTTTGTTTTCTAACCAGAGTTAGTAGTACAAGCTGGGATGAATATGTGAGTTCTTTTTTTTTTGCTGCAGTTTTTTTAATGCCTAGCAGTCCTTTCAATTCAGCAGAATTTATTTACAGAGGAATGTAGTATGGATGGTTTTCAAGCTATCCTTTGTTTTCTATTAAAGCAGAGTTAGAAGTAAAACTGGCATTTGTTTTTTTGCTGCAGTTCACACTAGAAGTCCTTTCATTCAGCAGAATTTATTTACAAAGGAATGTAGTATGGATGGTTCTGCTGCTGCTCTCCCGTTTGAACCTGTGCATCCCTCTTCTCCACATATTGGTACTCGTCTTCCTCCGACTTTGCCGAATCTTGCTGCATCAGGTTGTCAGCGAGCTCCACCAACGCGAGCGCTCCGTACCACTTGTCTCGCTGCTCCTGGATTCGCCTCCGTGCTGCGACGCGCGCCTGCTTCCGCTCCGTCTCGTCTGTGGTGGATTTCTGCGGAGCCTCCGGTGGTTGCCTGGACTCTTGGTCCTTCTGTTTGGACGGCGTCTTGTCTTCCTGTCTGGCTGCAATGTACCTGTCAACAAATGGACAAGATTTAGATGTAGATAAAGTAAAACCGAACCTAAATCACATACAGTTAACTGTAGTGAAGTGGTGAAGAAATCCCTCCAATACTGAGTCATTTTCCCCTTGGAAAAGTTTCAAAGTCTCTCTCTTAGAAAGCGAAAAAATTTTTCGCAAGAACTATGCCTGGATGATAAACATGCTATGTACATTTGTACATGGCTCTTCTTACACACAGAACTGAGAGAATTACTTCTGTTTTACACCACCAAGAAGTGGTAGATTCATCTACTCTAATAATTACATATTGTTAAGCCTGTAGGCCAGATGCGAGGAGTGTGATTTAGTCAGGCTACCTATTGTTATGAGAGCATAAAGTGACTTTAGAACTACATTAGAAAGACAACAGTGAAACCTTTAGAGACCTCAATACAAGGACTCTCTCCCTCACCTAGCGAGCCATTCTGCCACTGCTTTGTTGTTCTCTGCGTCCTTGACCTTGAGGTCTAAGGTCGGAGTCTGTTCCCTCCGCAGCCCGGCGTACGGGTGTTCTGCGCAGTGCCGGTTAGCGTGGGTGAAGCGACTGTTGCATCCTGGGAACAAACAAAAAGTTCAACTTTAAAGCATAGTCAGCAAATACTTCTTATTTGATTATCTGATACAACTTAATGATCTGAAACATTTTGTGCCAAATGTAGGGTGACAAAGGATTCTTTTGGCTTGGTATCCTTATTGTAGCCACTGGCTTTCTCTTAGAAAAAGGAAACACAGCAGCTACAATAGGCACGGATATCAGGCAGCATATCAGCAGAATGTACTTTGCCTGCAGTAACCACATTTTTTTTACAATTTTGTTGTAGGCAAGATCTTTTCCAATGCACTATTTGAAAACAATAGACAGGATCTTTAATATACCCTTAATATGTGAATACAACCTTAAAATACATGTTCTGCTGAAGGCTACTAGGATTGTTCTGGAAATAAAGAAAGAAAAGTTGTTCTCACCTGGTACGTTACAGACGAACGGTTTCTCCCCCGTGTGCAGCCTCTGGTGGGTCTTCAGTTGTCCACTCTGCACGAAGGCCTTGTTACAATCAGGGTAGTCACAACGGTACGGACGCTCGCCTGGTAAAAAAAAGGTAAAAGACGTTAAATTCATGGATAAAACAATTCAAAATGTTAAAACAGCCATTTCTAATTATTATCAATGGCCTTCTCTAAACATGAACAGCTCTGGTGCACTTGTAGTTGGTAACGTACAAAATATAACAAAATAAATATACATGGTACATGCACCGAATACAGTGTATAAAGCAGTGCATGATACATAATTTAATTTGTACTGTCTCAGCTAAAAATAGGCCATGATTGCCAAAAATTATCCCTGCCAAGTTGGCACTCAAAACTGAGTCATCAGTATAAACTACTAGTAATAATAGGCACTGACTCAGAAACATGTGGTTTAAAAGAAAAAGATCCTACATACTTTTTAAAAATCATTTAAAAAAATTTACTGGCATCAAAAGCAAGAAATGTAGTATGTTAAGACTTTTTACTGTTTAAAGGCACTCTATGCCACTTCCCCAAGGCAAACAAATCTAGTAGGCTAATCAGATGTGAAACCCACACCCCGATGACGTCACTGTTTGCCAATGCGTGTCGGTTGCCTCCTTCCCGCCTGATCCGACAACAATGAACAAATAACCAACCGGTTTGGCGGGACCTTTAACTATGGTTCAAGCTTTAAAATTCGTAAAACGTGCTCCTTTCCGAACAAAATACTACCAAATCGACTGCAATAATACGTTAAAACCGGTAGATTGGTATACAGAAAGTATTCGTAGGAAGTGGAGCAAATGTGGAGAAAATTTAGCACAAAAGAGCGCGCCAAAAACATGCAACAGAATTCTTAACAAAATAACACACAGAAAAGAGGAAGTATGACAACGATAAAAATTAACCAGTTTTCACAAAATATTCAACCTAGTGTAATGATAATTCACACACCTATATTTTCACAAATTTTAAAGTTTTAGCGAAAATTCTGTCACCTATCACAAGTTTATACCCAGATTTAAATCACCCCAACCATGAATGAATGGGCGATATTTCTACGTAAAACATCATCACCGAATTAACACATGCAAATATTTACTCACAATTCAAGAAATATGTATCTTAACAATGCGTGGACATCATAATCGTGATATTAGAGCACTTAGATTTTGTAGAAAGTTGGAAAACTTTACGTTGTATGCTGAGGAATTTTCACTGCAAATGGCGGCCATACAAAACTCGGGCTACTACATACCTGTGTGTGTTCTGAGATGAGCTTGTAGGGATTTTTCTCTTGGAAAAGTGCGATGGCAGGTTTGGCAGCGGATGCCACTAGGAGCCATCTGCCCTTCTTGGATGAGTTGGGTGATACTGTCGGCTCTCGGTCGGCCTCGTCGTGTCGTATCGTGCCGCGCCCCTCGGCCGGGCGGGGACCCCTCCACCGAACTCCCGGGGCTGAGAGTAACACTCTGCGCTGTCTCGCCCCACTTCCAGGGGTACACCATGAAATCGCTGAAGCCAGGGCTTCCAGGACTGAAACTAGACCTTCTTGGCTTCATCGGGGTGGTCCTGATGTCGGGAACGGGGAGTTTTCCCTCGGAATTGGACGAGTTTTGGGCCATTTTCGACGGAGCTGTCCGGCGCGCGGTGTGATCGGGACAAAAAATGGCGGACTCCGAACGGACTGAAATTTGGCGGGCTTTTTGCCGAAGGGGATTGTGGGTAATGAATAGGTTGGGTGCATTTTGCGCGGGAAATGGACCATGGATGCGAAGAACAATACAAACTTTTCGTTTTTATTCAGTTCTCATGTTTTCCATGCATTTTCGATCTACCATTCTTTTCTATTAAGCCTTTGTGTATTGAGCTAAATTCTTTTAAGCGTTTTTCATCTTCATAGAGGTGACAACTTTTATAGCAAGGTCAACTTCAATATCCAATGCGCACTTTATATCATGTGCGAGTGTTTGCCCATGCATAGACAGAGAAATTCACATTTAAAACTTTCTATCTTAATGTCTGCACCAATTTTCACACTTGGAGCTTTTAACACCTCGTGCCATCAAAGATTTATCAAATATTGACACCTTCCGTGACAGGTTCATGCTTTCGCGCTTTATTTTCACCTTCCCGCCACATTACCATATTTGGATGTAGGTCAAACAGATGACCTCCTTTCATACCACCTTGACAACAGTGTTTTACAGTTCGTGGGCGATTCTAACGCCGCTAGCTTTATTGAATTGATCAAAATTAACACGATTTTTCGTGCCAACAGTCTCAGGAATTCGGAAACATTTGAGTGAAAGAGCCAGGTGCCAGAATCCTCAATGACATCACACGCCATCTTCCCATCATCCCCCGCGACACAACCAGAGGAGCCTCACGCCATTTTGGACTTTACAGATTTCGTCTTCATGTGGCTTTAGCATCGGGGGATTTTCACCGCCATCCTGTCACAGGCGGAGCACAAGGATGCCAATGGATAGCGAGTACGGAATCGCTGTCACGAACAAATACCAATTTTTATTGGATGATGAAGAGGAAGACCCTTACGAGGCCTTCCAGAAAGAGTTGGCGCTGAAAGAAGAAAAGGCCAAAAGGAACAAGGAGGAGAAGGCCAAGAAAGCTGCCAAGGAACCCGAAAGGAAACCCAAGTCGGCAAAACTACCTGACAAAAAGAAGCCCCTGTCCGCGTCCGCGAAGGAAAAGGAAAATGTCCCCGACCGACCGAAGAAAGAAGGTAAAAACGAGGTTGACCTGAAAACATGTCTGTGGTGTAGTTACATGTCTGCGCCATGTTTCATGTACCATGCGTATGTCAAGTTAGCTCCAAACGCCTCCCTAACTTAAAAACCCTCACGCCAACCACTAACTCACGCCTCTCTAGGATCCTTATCGTGTGTTAATTGTTCCTCACCACATCTTATTGTCTTTAGATCGGATTTGAGTGCAGGAATTTGCGTATGAATGAGTGCTGGTAGGGGGGGTTGGGTTGCAGGGCAGTGTGGATTGCCCAACATTAGCCATGCATCTGCATCTGGCACCTGTGCTCAAACAATAACAATATGGCACTACGGGGCGCTGGCAGGGCTTACAGGTGCAAAAATAACCCCTATCTTGTCCCAGGACATAAATTTATCTCTATTTTACATGTTGTAAGAAGTGTGATGCAGAAACATGCACAGAAAAGCAACATGTGGACCATTTAAAATGAATGGATGAACACAGAGAATAGATGCATAAGCAGCATTAGGTGTTTAATTTATTTCTTTGCAAATTTTGTAGTCGCGTGCAAGCAAATACTAGTACTAGCTGATTGGCACTTGTCTAAAGCCGATATGGTTTTCCAGAATTGCTATGCATACAATTACAAGGTTATGTGAGGTGAGGGTGGCCAGTGTGTAAGATATATGTGCATATATTATTAGTTTTTGATATGATTGATAACACTGCATATATTTCAACTAAAATCTATAGTATAATACTGAACAAAACTAACCCGAACGTCAAAGAAGACGGCCAAATTATAGCTATTTCTGATCAGAATGAAAAGGACAAATTAAAACATGTATTATGCATATGAAATATTAATGGAATATCAAATATATTGCCTTTATGTCTTGCTTTTGTGGAATAAGAGCAAAACCACAATACTAGCAGTTATTGTTGATACGTAGGCTTCTGTTGTTGTACTCTTTTATCTTGTGTCAATCTAGAGTGCAAATATGTGTTGATAGCAGAGCTATCTAGTCACTAGGTAGTTGGAACAGGAGATCATTAGGTCAGGGGTTCGAATCCCGACCATCCTAGCCTCTGTATGTTGTGCTTGACATGATCTGAACGTAACGCAACATTAGGAGCTGTCAAGTTCTGTGTTTGAGGAAAGCCACACCTACACTACAGCACAAAAAACTACAACCATTTAAAGTAGGGCTACGCCCCCGTTGTGTGCGCTAGCCAAAATATAAATTAATACTGACACTCGGACAGCGCTGCGTGTGCCAAGTACATGTATGTTACACCCTGCGTCTGATTAGTTCCCAGTTTAGTTTGATTCCAAATTCTGTAATTGACAGATAAACCATTACAACATAGCTGGTACTAAGTAGTTTCTAAATTACGGTATGCACAGTATCGAGTGGAATGTCTTTTGCTATATTCACTCAGTTGAATGAATTGGGAAAACTCGAATGGCTAAGATGCTGCAAGTTGCCTACAATATATGGCGAGATTACTACATCAAACTCAGAAAGAAATGAGTCAGGTCTTGAAGCTTATAAAATGGACAGCTAAGCCATTTTTCCTTTGGGTTTAACGTAGCTTAAATAGTGGCTGATGACAGTATAGTTGAATGAATTGACAAAACCCGAATGCCTCAAATGCTGTAAGTTGCCTGCAAAATGCAGAAAGAAACGAGTCAGGTCCTGAAGCTTTACAAGATGGACAGTTAAGCCATTTTCCAATGGTTTAACGTAGCTTGAATAGTGGCTGATGACAGTATAGATACTGAGATCAATGTTGACACAATAGACAAGTATCAGATACCTCATGTTGAGTGACGAATCAATACTACCGGGGAGCTTTTTCTGTGTCATGCCAGTAATCTTTTCATTGATATTGATTTTAATGTGTAAAGAGACTATTGATACTCTCCTCAATAATGTTTATGAATAGTGATTTGATAAAATACACAAGGTGACAAAATGAGGGCTTTGTTTTCACGGCTTGACTGAACCTTGGTGAACTGGAAACTAGAAAAAAATACCCTGATGTTGTTATCAAATAGATTCCAGTCTGTATTCCTTTCTTGGCAATGTTTGTGCACTTTTCCCCCTTTGGCGTTAGAATTCCAGGATTCTGTTTCGTTGACCCCTTGGGAAAGGTCGTCAGGAAATGTTAATGAGAAAGATGTCAGCTGCGACTGTTGCCTTCTAGTCAGGGTTGCCAAAAATAGACGTCATGTCAACTACACTAAAAACAACTGTCCAAAACAGCTGATGGGTCCAAGGAAGACACAAATGTCTTCAAAAAATAAAAGAAATAACAATGAACAATTTATTTGTTGCATGTAGACCACATGTTCCAAATTCCCTCCGTGCAGTTCCGAATGTAATATATGAAGCTTAGATCTGAAAATAGGTCCTAAAATTTTCCCCTCAGTGCCCTTATATTGGACAGTGGTCAACCCGAGCATTCTGTTTTGGGTAGAATTCGTTTCCAGTGGTGAAAGAATGATGGTACTGTACTTGGAAAAGAAATTATTAAAAAAGAACAAAACACACTAATTCTAATGAATATATGACTGTATGAATTTGTAAGCTGTATCTTGTCACATTTTTTTCTGACCCTTACCTTAGAAAAGAAAGTACAAAAATAATGAAGATGGTAAACCTTTTTTTTCTAGACCCACCCTCAAGACCAAACCGTGCTGAGCGGAGGCGGCAGCAGCAGGAGTCAAACGCGGTGAACGCGGACGGAGACGAGAGATCGGACAGACAACCCAGACGGGACCGCGGGAACCGGCCCAAACGCACCCAGGACGACGAGGGCGGACGCAACGTTTTCACAGAATACAGGTAGATAGGATCACCAGGTTAGGGGTTCGAATCCACAATGTTTTCACAGAGTACAGGTACATAAGGATCACCAAGTTAGGGGTTCGAATCCCATCAGCCAATCTAGCCTCTGCTTTGGGTGCTAGTTGTAAGTGTAACTTTGCAAGTGGGGAGGATGCAATATTTTCACAGAATAGAGGTATACAAGGTCACCTGGTTAGGGGTTCGAATCCCGGCCAACTTGACTGCAACGTTTTCACAGAATACAGGTAGATTAGGACCACCAGGTTTGGGGTTCGAATCCCAGCCAACCATGACACTAAAGACATGTATTTTATTGGACTGTATTGTTCTGAAGATTTCATTTAGGTTGCTTGATACATACTTAAAATTGCTACTTGGCAAAGATTCGAGTGTAACAAAACACTTGGCAGTCCAAAAATAACACAAGCATCCATTGCATTTTCTGGTAATCAACAGTGCAAGAGCTCTTTAGCAGAATAACCCAAATTTTCATCAGTGTCTTTGTCAGTAAATGATTACGAATCCAACACATATAAATTGCAAATTGAATAGTGCTTTGTTATCCAAAAGGTTACTAAAACAGTCTGTGTCACAGCAAATTAATTTTCTGCTTTCCTCACCTCAAGGACTGATAGGACTGACTCTGACCGGGCACCCCGAGGCCGCGGCGGTTTCGGCCGTGGTGGGCGCGGCCGCGGACGGGGCGGGTTCTTCGGCGGACGCGACTTCCGTGGCAAGAGGGAGTTCGAACGGCACAGTGGCAGTGAGAAGAGGTTGGACATTTTTGGACAATGATCCGATCTAGACCAGAATTTAGCTTGACAAAAGAAATGACAGTTTGAAATAAGTTGAATTTGTAACTTCAAAAATGCAAATTAGAATTTGCACTGAAAAAGCTTGACAATTGGTAATTAAATACTGGGGACCTTTTTTTCAAGTTTGCAACTACAAAAATACCATGTGAAAAGCATATTTGAAGAAGAAACTTACTTATGCTTGGCAGCAACTTATTTTCAAAGTCACTGTTCTTTGATTTTAAAGGCACCATCCTAACTCAAAGGCTTCCTACAAGTAGCTTGTTATATGCAACTGTATCAAATGAGTAGATTCTTTCCAAGTACCAAAGACATTTTACTGGAATAAAGACTGTTTTAAAGTACCAAATACATTTTACTTTAATGTAGACTGTTCCATGTACCAAAGACACGTAGCTTCGCTACAGAAGTGTCTTCAGGTAGTATTTAGGATCACATGTACCTCAGACTTTCTTCAGAGTGTGGGATAAGTTCAGTGAAAGTTGTTCTCCTGTTCCTTTAAGCAGTGGCGTGAAGTCGTCAGAAAAGCGCGACGGGGGCGGAGCCTACAACTGGGGAAGCCAGACCGACGCTGCCGAGTAAGTCACAACAAACTGTTTGTTTTTATTCATAGTAGTAAGCATTTCATTGGTCTTACAAGACCATGAAGTACTTCATCTACACCATGTACTTATTCTTAGTTTTGCGCTTAAAGCGTCTCAGTTCTGATGCAAGAACTTAAAAGTAAGCCACACAAGTCCTTGGAAGAAAACTACATTCAGGCATGACACACTAGTTCACTACAAGCTGTATAAGACTAGACTGTAAGGTTTGATTATTATAAAGGGCTAGCCCTTTATAATAGCCTCCGGCTAGTTGAGCAGTCCTGGTTGTATACATATATTTTATTGAGCCTAATATTAAATCAAATCAAGGTTTGATTGTTTTGCATAACTGGTAAGCAGCCTTTAGGCATAACACATCAGTTGAACTTTTCTACATTAAGGACAAGCTGCATACAACTGGACTGTAAGGTTTGAACCACTTATGCTTGGATTGACCCATAATCTTTTGGGATAAGTGTGGTGGGTTCTTAAACGTGCTCGAGGTGAGGTTTTCCTCAAACACCTTCTACTTAACCTACAAATGCAGTGCCTACAGGTCAAACAAATATATTTTAACACGCTTCAAGAAAGTTGGATAACCTACATTGCCAAGCCTTCCCTCAAACCCCCTGGTCAAACAAAGATGGCCTTGTTAGCTTCAGCCGTGCTCCATTTATGTTTGGGACTTTTTCTCAGTTTAAACTCACATGTGCGATGACGATTATTTTCTCCCGAATCACCAAGGTCCTCAGGCCTACTGGTGACAAACGTCCGTACCATCTGAGCACAGTTAAAAAATATCTACATAACATATCCTTCGTAATCCTTATAACGAATGACAACTTCCCTAAATTGAGACAATCTTAACGGTCAATAATGATAACCCACAGCTGTCCTGTCCTGTTTTAGCTTGAATGTCGTCTTGTATAGTATTGTGTAAAAGTAAATTTCGTATCTGATTGAGATGATTTTTTCCCCCCCAGTGACCTGAACGTGACCGCTGGATCTGCCGAGGAGAACCCAGAATGGACCGCACCAACCGAGGAGGGGGAGAATGCAGAAAACAAGTAAGGAACACCACAACGATTATTGTTGTAACTTTGAGCTGCCCTATATTGATAGAGAATTCGTAGTCATGGCTCGTGAAGTCAGGCTAGATGCAGGTACCAGCCCTGTATGGTCTCCATTTCAGAAATTTAACTTAGTTTTGAAACATCATGCAACTTGTGTCGTTTGCTTTGAATTGTGCGATGACGATTATTTTCTCCCGAATCATCAAGGTCCTTGAGCCTGATGGTGACACACGTCCGTACCATCTGAGCACAGTATTATCATCTTAATGACGTATTAAATCTCCTGACTAGGCTTGTGTACCCAAGCCCATCCCTATCTCTCTCCACCATCTTTTACCTCAGGTAACCATTTTACACCTGAGTGGATTGAGGAAGGTTATGTAACCTTTCCCAAGGACACATTTGGCTATGAGTGCAGGGGACCTCTCCATCTCATGTCTGCTTGCCTCGTTATCTTCCATTCAATACAATTTTACTTTACCATTCTCTAAAAACCTTCCTTCCCTCCCTTGTTTCCAGGGAAGGGGCAGAAGGCCAGGAAGCCCCCGGTGAACAGGAACCCAAGGAAATGACGCTGGATGAATGGAAGGCTCTCCAGGCCAAGGACACCAAGCCCAAGTCTGGCTTCAAACTGAGGAAGGCCGGGGAGGGCGAGGATCTCACCCAGTGGAAGAAAACTTACGTTCTCAAGAAGGGACAAGAGGAAGAGGATGCTGACAAGGTGAGATGAAGGAACTAGGGAACTACCTTCAGTAACGAATATTTTTTTTTCCTTCCTATTACCATCAGAAACCTTTGGGGTTTTCAACTATGGTTTGTTTGTGAATGGAAAGGTAATATATTCAGAGGTGATAAATGGTTGATGAAGTCTTTTAGTTCAGTGCAGTAGTAAAGACACGTATAGTTCCCAACACTAAATTTCAACATATTCAGACTAGAATTCAGACAAAAAGTTGTATTGCAGGTAGCAGTTGCCATAGAAAGTTGTAGAGGCAATAGTTTGATATCTCTTATTGTTTGGCTCATACTAATCATAGACGTTCAAAATCAAAGCTGTGTCAAAAAAAAGCATACTAAAACATGTACATTCCGTCATACAGTCCTTTTCAACATTTTTGTTCGCATGGTTGTCTCAGCTAGCAAAACATACTCCACTAAGTTTCTATATCAATACATTTGAGAGATTTGACTCTTGAAATTGAAAAGCTTTCTTTGGCCATGGTAGAAAAACTGGTACAAGAAAATGTGGTATAAAGTCAGACTACTAAACATGCATGTCAGAAATCAGAAACTAATTGGTGTTCCTCTTCTCTCTCTCTTCTACTGTCCTCTTTGATTGCTTTCATTTGGCCCCGTTCGTTTGTGTGTACGTGGCATGTCCATCCTAATGTCCCCCCCACCCCCACCCCAACTGGCTCACCGGCCTCAGATCTTTCGGATACAGGTAAGCCACGGTTGAAGCTACGTCGTTGCCCTGTATTCTGCCTCTATTTGTGTTAAGCTGCCCCTAAAATTTCCCCCACTGCAAAACTCTGTAGCCTTTGCTGGACACCTTGTTTGGTTTGTTCGTGTGTTTGTTTTTTTCAGCCTGGATGCTTTTGCGTATTGTGAAAAGTTCTGGTGTTTTGGTGGAGCAGTTGTTTTTGTAAAGCTTGGTTTCTGATGCCTTCTTGCCAACTGTCATTTCACTTACTAGATACTTCTAGAGGTATCACATGCTTTTTATATGTATGATCTTGGGTATGATAAGATAACTGTTGAATTTCTTCATGCACTTAACTTGTGTTTTCAGCAAGTAACTGATACACAATTTTACTGTTTTCAGAATTTTTCTTAATCACTGATGAAATGTACATAAATGCTGCCTGAAATGAGAATTCGTCCAGTTTGTATTACGTAATGTTCTACTCTTCCTTAGGATATTGGAGTTTCTTTTATACAAACAGCAATGTCTGTCACATTATGTTTCATTCTACCAGACACCTTCCTCAGAGCTTCTGACGTTTTTTTTTAGCCATTTCAGGAAGGTGCAAGGACTTAAGAACATCCTAGAGTTCAAAACGAATCTTAAACCTTTCTTTATTTCTTCTCGTTCCAGTACGGCCAGGACCAGCGCCCAGTAGCCGGC